TGCAAATATAGGCTAGTTTCTAATACTTACTTGAACTTTGGCTTCTCATCTGTATTAAGAGTGAAGAGGAGACATGTTATTATGAAATCCCCTCAGGGCAATACAGTTAACGGTACACAGCAAACGTTGGAAAATTTATTTATTATTAATTTAAAATGATTAGTTATTAAAATATTAAAGTTATTAAATATCTACATTGATTTTAGAACAAACATCCAAGCACAGCCATTATACTCAGAAACACCCTTATTTTATAAAAAATTGTGACTTGTTATAATCCTGATTGAAGAAATTTTAATATTATTAAAGATTTAAATAATTTAGTAAAAAAAAGTGATTTTAAATAAAAATATAATATTACTTTTTTTAAATATATTTAAAATATTTAGAGCTAAATGTGTCCAATTCAAAAGTTTTCCTTGAAGAGGCTTCTTCTTCTGAAACAGCTCTGCTCCTTAAAATGAGTTGGTCAGTTTTCGGTACATGCCATGCAGAACTTAAACAGCGTGTCACTGCACGGTTGTTATCATTTAATATTCTTTCACCCATTTCATTGCATAGCCTTATCTGTGAATAGGTTATTGCCCACAGCATTATAGATGTTGTCCACTAGGAGTGAATAGGTTATTTCCCACAGCATTATAAATGTTGTCCACTAGGAGTGAATAGGTTATTTCCCACAGCATTATAAATGTTGTCCACTAGGAGTGAATAGGTTATTTCCCACAGCATTATAAATGTTGTCCACTAGGAGTGAATAGGTTATTTCCCACAGCATTATAAATGTTGTCCACTAGGAGTGAATAGGTTATTTCCCACAGCATTATAAATGTTGTCCACTAGGAGTGAATAGGTTATTTCCCACAGCATTATAGATGTTGTCCACTAGGAGTGAATAGGTTATTTCCCACAGCATTATAAATGTTGTCCACTAGGAGGAGACTGCAGACAACAGTAACAAGTCCCTTCAACACTGATAAAGTGGGATACATCTGTAATCAACATACCTTCCCCTTCAGTGACAGCAAGCATTAAACAAGAACAGAAAACAAGAACAGAATAGATATTATTATTATTAACTATAATATTGCGGGGGACCGAATCCACCAACATTAAAAATAAATAGATTTATAAAAACAATTAAAAGTTTAAGTCCTTATGTATTATTTATTTATTTTTACATTTAATTCTACATTTATGTCTATATTTTACATTAATCTATTTCCACATTTAGTTATTTATACATTTTTATGTCTGTATGGTAATGAGGGGGCATGTTTCCACTCCACATTGCACAATGTATACACTACAGATTCAGTGCAAAGATAAATAACATATGATTTGCCTTATTGTGTAATACAATCAAATACAATGTAAAAATAAAAACTCTAAGATGGAGAATGCAGACCAGGATGTTCTAGATAAATGTATTTAAAAATTTCATAATAATTATTAATTATTTTATGACCAGTGCAGCAGTATCACACATTGCACAGTTATTACAAATGTCCCATTGTGATTGCCTACTTTCACCACGTTCTAACAAGTACGATTATTGGGAGAAATGGTGAACGGATACATTACATCGTTTATAATTGTTTTTAAAAATGCTCTGGCAACAAGATTCTACAAGAAAACGTTGAAAAATTGTACTCACCCTCGAAATGCTCGCTGTAAAAAACAAAATAAAAAACAGAAGCCTGATTATGCTCCCTTAGTGCATCTCATAGAAATCCAGTTCAATATGCATAGAAACTTCATGATACTTACACCTCCTCTGTGTCTGACATGGTGATAGTGGACTTTGAGACTAAATGAAAATGAAATAATGATGCACAAATCAGAACCTTAAGTGAAGACTGCGATGAGTCTAATGAATACTTAACAAATCAAAGTCTCTCTATATCATGAGAATATACATATATATATATATATCCTCCCTTTTGCCCCCTTAATTCTGAACTACTTGTGGCTTTTTGCCAAATGAAATAATCATCAATAATGTCAGTGAGGACCCGGAATGTATGATGCAAATACTCTCTCCAAATTTTTCCAGTTTAAATTAAAAGGCAACAATTACATTTTTGTTTATAGTAGTCTGCACATCTTATGAGAAAGTGAAAAGTGAAAAACATAGCAAAGTCATTTAGCTAAGTATTGACCAAATTGTATTATTAGCTGACCTGTGAACTGGCTGACACTTGATCAATCATAAATGCCCTTATCCATACTTGTACATGTAAAAGTTTGTTTCCACTTTGCCTGATAGATCCTTGGCCTTGTCAGGACGGTAAAAGTCACTGAAAAGCTCAATAGTAAGGCACTTTCCTTTAGAACATATTATTGTGTAGACAAACAAGTAGTAGAAAAACACATATCTTTGAGAATATCGTGTTATTTGCATATTTGTAGATGATTTGTGTTGTTTCCCAATTTCAGAACTAATATTTTTATATATAGTCCAGGACTCAGATTTTGTAACAAATCAATACAAAATACTACAAAATCTTAATAATAATTACAGGGTTTGATTAATTTAAAAATACATAAGCAATACCTAAAAGCATCTCGGGTCAAAAATAATTTGACTAGACAGCTGCACTTAATAGGCCCAAACATTGTTCAGGATCTAGTTTCCAAGTTCCATCTCAAGATTTTTTTTCTTCTATATTTGGACATAGAATGTTACGATCATATAGATTATGTTATTCAGACAACTTAAAATAAATGAAATGTAAATTTAAACATCATTTTAAAGCTACCCAGCTTTAATGTGTATATATACATTTTAGAATTAAGAGTCCACGAATGATATTTTAACTAAATTGATTTATGATTTCCGCAAGTTTGTGTAAAACCTGATGAGTTCACACGCTACTTATCACAAATTGTCTTAGTCTAAACTGACTCACAACTACACACAAACTGTCCTGATTTCACAATTTCCTCACACTCTGCACTCATCCCCTCCTTCACCCTTACCTCAGAAAAGCTGAAAGAAGTGAGCTCCCTGCTGGCGAAGACTGGCTGTAAAGTTCAGCAAACATGCATTTCTGTTATAGTGACACCTGATCTGTGGAAATCTCCCATTGGTGGAGATTCTGTAGTGGGAAGGGTTAAAAAGGGAAGGTCCAGAACTTGGCCCATGCGCTGAATAAGGAGATGAATGAGAGTTTGAGTAAATGTAAGTTTGGAGGAGTGAGTCCAGACCCTGTTGCTATATTTGCTGTGGTACTACGTAAGCACAATTATCAAATTTTCTGAAAGGGCCGAGCGTGAGTGGGTTGAACTTAGCTTTTGGTGTTATTTTCAACATAATAGATAGATGCGTCGGATGAGGTTTTGGGGTGTGCCCCAGAGCTCGCTCCCAAGTCCACATGTGTTACAAACACCTTACCCTTATTCATTATAAATGTCTAGAGGTCACTAATGCTATTAGCAAATGAATAAATAATCATTAATTATAATAAATAAATAGTATATTTAAATTAGTGCTGTCAAGATTTACACGTTAATTTAGCTAATTTAATTTTTTTAAATTATTTAAATTTGATAAAACACACACACACACACACAATAGTTTTTTGCATATTAGCAGGGCAGGTAAAAAACTGAACCGGCCCGACTGGACCAGTAGAAAAAAAACCTAAGTTCACTTAAATTAAAAGTTGTTATATTTTTTAAAGCCTATTAAATGTTAAAATTGCACACTTAAAACTGAGAATCAATTCAATAGAGACATCAGTATCAGTGCTGGGATCAGTGATACTACCCTTTATTTATAGTGCTTAGTAAAAAAGATACCATTAAACAAATATTTAAAATACACTGTATGTTGTTTCTGTGTTATTTTGGAGATTTAATGTGAAAGTATTACAAAGTTAAATATATTAACAACTTTAATGTTTGGTGCGATTAATCGCAATTAATTACAGAAAATTGTGCGATTAATTCGTTATTTTTTTATTGATTGACAGCACTAATTTCAATATGAAACCGCTCACACCACTATGCATACAGAGGATTTGTGAATTTCACCAGTTAGTTACATTCTGAAATGCACTGTTTAGATGAGTTTCATGTTGGAGACACGCTAACAAGCCAGTCACAATGTTCTCTTATATTGTAAACAAGTGTAAATGTCAACTTCATCATTTATGTCAGAAGGATTGACGTCTGTCATGTAACACATGAGCTTATTGGTGTAATCAAATCAGTCTGGCTTTTTATTCCAACCCTTACTCCTTGCCCAGAGGCTTCCGTAAATATTTGGTGTGTTCACGGGATTAAGTTTCAACTTAAGTTGAAGAAAAGTTCAACTTAAAAAGTTGAATCACACTTGGTGCTTGTTTGCACTACAACCTTTGCCAATCAATATGAAATCTGAAAAATTCTGTTTCAAATATCTTAAGAAAGTGAAATGTCTTGCAAACGACAATTCACAGTGGTCTACTTTCAAGTCGACATCAACGGAATTTGCTGTAGCCTTTTTTTCTCTATTGTGATGTATATCCGAGTGAAACTGCTTCTTAAACAAGAAAACATATATATAGGACAGGACTTGATTCTGTTCATCAGGAATTGATTGGATCATTGAATCATTGTAGTTTGCTATTTCTCCAATTTCATGGTGACTTTAAAGAATTGACCTGTAAGAGCCCTTTAAAGGAAACAACTGCTTCTTCTTCTTAACTGTAGGGGGTGCTGTGCTTATAGATGTGTAAATGAGGGTGTGCATCTGGTGTCATGGGGGAGGGGGGCACTTGGTAATATCTAAGGTGACCTGGATCCCCCCTGCTTCGCTGACGGTTCCCTCTACACCGTCACCAGTCAGTGTGCATTCTGAGTAACGGGCTCAGGGTTTTATTTTTGGACTGCTATGGAGCCTGTGCCTTCCATTTGAAGGAAGGGGGAATAGTTGAACTCAACATGAGTCTCCCGTTCTGACAGTCCAAGCTGGGACAAGCAGGCAGCCGCCGGACACCCCTGAACAGCAGCAGACACACAGGTATAAAACCACAGCAAAACCGCTTGAAATTTGATTTCTGTTTATTATTATATGAATACCTAGTGTGGAAGTGCATGCCACGTCTGTCCTTTGGGAAAAGGCATTAACACTTGTAGCAGGCTAACTTTCTGCATCAGGGAGTGTAATATAACACTGTTAAAATGAAATTAGTACTACCAATATTTGTTTCAATGCAACCATATTTTATGTCTAATTTATATATGTCCTTTTCATTAAAATACAGTTGCATAATTCATGCATGTTTATGTTTACAGGGGAGGACCTTGTCTGAAGTGTCTTCAACTGTCTTACAGTCATCTCTTGGTGAGTTTTTTTAAGCACACACATACAAGTGTGCATATTGCCGTAGACCATATGTCTTTACATGTACAATTCCTTTTTTCTTTTTTTTTTTGCTAAGAAGCAATTAGGCAGTGCATGATTTTACTGCTTTGCTATTCTCGCCCTTTCCTCTTTTGAACTTGCATCTTGGAAATTCTCCAAACTGCCCAGCCTACCAGGCCCTTAAAAGGATGACCTCCTCTCATATGTGTCTCTCTGGCTGGAGACTTCTTTTACAAGCTCTTACAGATGGCCTACATTTGTAACTGTTGCAAAAGATTATTCATGAATATGAATATATTTTTTTAATAGTCCAGTAATGGTCAATACTGTATGAAAGAGGATAAAAGCAGCTCTTTGATTTATGATCTTAGGTTGTGCGTCAACAGACTCCACTGAATCTGATTGGTAGTAAATTTTCAGTGATTTATTATGTAATTTAATGTAGCTGTTCCACCCATGGCTAAAGCAGTGGCTGCCCCCTTGGCATTGGTTTACATGGAGGGTGGAGAGTGGCACCACACTCTGTGACAGAGCAGATTACTTGCTCATTTGCTTTCACCCTAAAATTAGGCAAAGGAGCCACCCTAGATTTGTGGTGGAAGTTTACTGCATGTGAATGTGTCATAAACTTGAGTCCTACAAAATCAAAATTAAGAATCATACAAAATATCAAGTTTATTGAAAATAAAAAATGTTAATGGACTATAAATCACATTCTTTTTTTTAACCATGATACCATTGGGTAGGAAAAAGTTCATAACTAAACAAACAGGATTATATTAATAATATTATAAATATGATAAATGGACTAATTCCAGTGTTTTCTTGAAAACCAAAAGGTGTAGTCAATTATGTGTTATGCAAAATGATGAACAATAGCAGAGAGGTAAGAAAATCAATGTCAATATCAATGACGGTTATCAATATTTGTATCAAAATCATATCAAAATCAATCAATATTTGTAATAAAATATAACACACCAAGGTGTAAAACAAAGATTGCTAATGACTTAAAAGGCATACGAATCAGCTGCCTGAATTTGGAATGTTTTTGGATTATTCTACTATTAATCTATTATTTTTTTTAAGTCTATATAAATGTAACAATGTGTCAGAGTATATAAATAGCATAGAAAATCAATATAAAAACGTAGTTGACAAAAATCTTAACTATCTGTTTGACGTTCACATTCAGTTCACACTCATACATTGTTAAAATTGGACATAATATCAGCACAAATACTGCAGAAAAATACTGAGGAAAAAAAATAATTCAGAGAATAAGTTTTTTTTTTTTTTGCTTTTTACATTGTATATATGACAAATAGATTTTAAGAAAACAACCCAAAGCCTTGACATTAGAACATTAAAAAATTAAGCAATCATCAAAAATCAAAGACAGATAAGCACATACATTGTATACATACATTGCAATTGTTTCTTCCTTATGTTGTTTTTTAGGTGTATATATATATATATATATATATATATATATATATATATATATATATATATATATATATATATATATATATATATATATATAAATATTAGGTGTGGGGGGGGATTCGATTCACATATGACTCGCAATTCTATCTTCTGCCGATTCGCATCGATTCACAAATTTCAAAAATCCATATTCAAGAGTGTTACATTACTTAAACTTTGCTGTACTTCTTAAAGCTATTGACACATTAGTGTTATTAATTACAATAAGCCGCGAAAAAGGACTCGATGCGGCGCTCAGATGCATGCGATCTCGAAATCAGTTCTCTTTGACAGCCTATTGCGCTGCAATGGTCAAATACACACACAATTATGTCAAAATGCACATTGTGTGGAGTATTCACATAAACACAATCTGTTATGTCCTACATGAACATAGGCAATTGGAAGCAAATCGGATGTGTAACAGTATAGTAGATCAGTGCATTTGTTCTTTGAGGGACAGCAACCTAATAAACTTGCGATATGTTTCATTAATCAAAAAAAAAAAAAACAATCACTGCTTTTGACTGAATCTCTCTTTTTCTTCTAGACCTATTAAACTGTCTACCGCGTTCAAATAAGAAAAGTAATACAAAACCGTAAACTACAATCAAATCTACATCGAATCGAAATTTGATTTAAAACCGAGAATCAATTTGAATTGAATCGTGAGTAACCAAAAGATTCCTACCCCTATATATATATATATATATATATATATATATACTGTGTATTAGGTGTGTGTGTGTGTTAATGTTTATATGTTCTTGGTGAATCTGGAAAGATGCTATTGCTGAATTAAATTCCTCACAAGTCATCGCTGGATAATTCATCTGAAAGAAAAAGAAAACAACAGTATTAGTGAACAACAAAGCTTTTTTGCTGATTTATTTTAAAATTGTCTATTTTTGGATTGGTTTGCACTTTGTTACCATTATTAGCAAAAACAATCATCATTGTCATGTTCAAAGTACACAATATCTATTATTTGTTTCAGGGGGTTGACGATTTTATGGCTGGCAATATCGCCAATACTGCCCAGGCTGGCCTGCTATCCCAGCAGTACCCACCACCTTTGCCTCCCAAACCTGGGAAAGAAAATGTCCGGCTCCAGAAACTACTCAAGAAGACAGCCAAGAAAAAAGCTGCTGTCCAGGCCTTACAACCATCGGTCCCCTTCCGCTCAAGCCTCTCTCCAGTAAATGAAGCAAGCCCTGACCTGGAGCACAGTGATCACTCAACTCCTCCTAAAACTCCAGAGGCACCTTTCTATATTGGCACGGTACATCCGCGCTTTAACGTCCGACCACTGTATCAGCATGTTGCGTCCCCTTATCCTCATCACAGAGGATTCACATATGGCAAGACAACAAGGTTTTCACCACAACCATATGTGGCTCTGGGCCACAACACTCCCCAACACCTAGCTCCAGCATTTCCATACACAGCCTCACCAATACCAGGACTTGCCACACATGCTACGGCTCCAATTACTATTCTGCATACTGCACAAAGAGCGGAAGTCAGCTCAACTCTTACCACCCATGTAATTACCTCTAAAACTCCAAGCCCTCAGCCAACTGTTTTGAAGGTTTCTAGAACAACAAAACCATTGTTTGAAGTTCCTCAGATCACCAATTATACGGCAAAGTCAGCAGGTTTGATAACACCTTATGCATCACCAACAAGGAGTAAAACACCTACTGCAGAGTTAATGAGAGGCCCAACACCAACATTTGAGGTTAGAAAGATAGTGACACCAACAGCGGAAATAAGAGACAGAACACCGACCAGAGAGATCAGAAGAGTTGCAACACCGACGCTTGAAATCAAGAGGATTACCCCAACTTCAGAAATTAAGAAAACCCAAACTCCAACTTCTGAAATCAAGAAAGAGACAATTACATCTTCTGAAATGAAGAGGGTCAGTACTCCTGCTAAGAAAGAGACAATTCCATCTTCTGAAATTAAGAGGGTCAGTACTCCTGCTTCAGAGATTAAACAAAATGCAACACCGACACTCGAGACAAAACAAGGTACAACTCCAACACTCGAGATAAAGGGGGTTGCAATACCAACTAGAGTAAAAACACCAACATATGACTTAACCTCAACAAAAACATATTCAGGGCGACCCAAGACACCCTCGGGTAATGTGTCACGTGTTAGAGTATCTGTGATTGAGATTTCAAGACCAAATCCACTTTTATTTGCTGTTTCTCCTGTGCACATGGAGGGCAGAAGATCCAAAACGCCAACTTCAAGCTTGGCTGGTCCACATGATGAAATTCATAAAATTTCAAATCAGGTGAATAACACCAATCATTCAGGAATATTCCAAAATGGGGACATAGATGTCAAATCAACTGAACTCTTAAAAGAAAAACTAGATATGGCCACTTCAGAAAACCTATCAAAAGTCGAGTCATCAAAGCCAAAGACTCAAATACAAGAAAGCCCAAAACTTAATGCAAATCAACACCCAAAGCCTGAAACCCCAACAGCACCCAATGTTGAACTCGCACAGCCTGGTTTGTCTTCAGTTGGCTATCAAAGACCGTTATTTAGAGTCCCTCCATTTGCTGGTCAAAGACCCAAAACACCAACAACACCTAAATCCCAACCAACATATTATGGATTGACTCCCGCTGAATATGTTGCCCATGGAGGAATAAAGAGTTACTCGCCAAGTTTTAGCATTTCTACACCAACTTTACTACCAAGTGTAGAGGCAACTCATCTTCCAAAACAGGAACCGGTAGTACCTCAACCTGATGAAACTGTGACCATAACAAATGACAAGTCTGAGGTAAAACCTAAAGAGCTAGGTAAAGTCCAGCCACCTCAGACTGTTGTTGTTAAAGATGAAACCGCTGTGGTAGCTCCACCTCCAGAATTTCCAAAGGCAGCATCTAAACCAGAAGCTATCTCTGTAGAGGATGTTCCCAAGCAACCTTTGCCAAAAATTCCTGATGTTAAAATTCCAACTATTGTGGTGTCTGTAGCTGACACACCACAATCAGAAGCAAAAGCAGAGGCTATAAGTACTGTGACGCCAAGAGTCAGAACTCCAACCTATGGATCTCCCAGACTTTCCCAAATGACACCAACCCCTCCAACTGTGCAGGAAACTCCGAAACCTGAAAGTAAGGCTGTACCATTGCGTGACCTAGACACAGGAAAGCCAGCACTTCCAAAGCTGTCGAAAGGTAAAGTTAATGCTGAAACAACCAAAGTGCAAGAGAAGCCAACTGAGGCAAAAATATATTTGTTAGAGAGAATTAAGAAGCAGAATCTTGCATCTGGTTCTTCTGAAAAACCTCCTGAAAATGGAGAGGTTAAAGATGTGGTTAAGCCTCTGGCTGAACCAAAAGAAGACCAAAAGCACCTTGAAACAAAGGACACTGAACATGTAAAGGTTGAAAGAGGAGAGACAAAAGCTAGTCCCCAACAAGTGATCAAGCCTACAGTGGAAAAAAAGGAGGAGGGTGAAGGCTCTTCCCTATCTGCAGAACCTCTCTTGAAGGTGATGCAGAAACCAAAAGGCATGAAGTCAAAACTCAGTGGCTGGTCTCGCCTTAAAAAACACATGGTGGTCGAAGCAGAGGAACCCAAGTTTCCAGAGGTGGAGCCTGGGTCAAAGAAAGATGTCCATGCCAGCGCTGATCAAAATACAATTGAAATGCAAAATAAGTCTGAAGATGAAGATAAGCTTAGTGAGAGCCAGGACAGTAAAGACTCCCCTAGGGCAGCAAAGATGTGGGATGCTGTCCTCTTCCAAATGTTCTCCACCAAAGAGAACATAATACAACAAATTGAATCCAATAAAACTGAGGAGCAAAAGAAGATGGAGGCAGAACAGAAGATGGCAAAAGAGATTCCCTCATTTGCGCAGCGTTTGCCAGTTCTCCTGTACAGCCCGCGGTTTGATGCTAGAAGACTAAGAGAAGCAGCTTCTCGACCAGCAACAAAGATTGCAACAGTTTTTGAAATGGGACTTATAGGCCGCAAAAATAAAGACGAAGAACCAAAAGACTTTAATAGAACAGCCAAAGGCTTCAGTACTTATTAAACCACTGACATCTAACTGGATAACATATAAATAATAGGCAAGGATGTTGTTAGCTGTCATTGCAATTGTAGAGTTCTGTTTATTATCTCACACAACTCTTTCCCTAAAACTTTGTTTTATAACTTTATAACAGGTCAGTTTGTAATTAAACTAAATGACTCTGTCAAATGGACAATAACCAGTTTGCAGTACTAAAGTAATTGCCCACTTGTCAGTTGGCATTAGCCATTTAAGTTAATAAGAATAATGAATAAAGAAAATAAAAAAAAATCTTATCTTTTTGAAAGTTTTAAATTTGTTTTTTGCTTAAGACTTTCAAAACGTATCTTGACATTTTTCATAAGCATGGCAAATATGGTAATATTTTAGTAATACTTGCATCCCTGAACATCTTTGTCAAAAAAACAAACAAAAACATTTTGAATTGAATAAAAGGAAAAATTATGACTCCAGTCTGCCACAAGACACAAAATCAAAGAAAATCAAGAAAGGGTTTTTGAGTATACAAATAGGAAATATATTCAGCTTTTAGTCATCTAAAAATATTAAATTATCTTACGCTATTTTTTTTTTAACATTACAATAAAAAGCACCACACCTTTTTCATAGCAACATTTTTTTTTACAGACAAATGTAGCTTAATGAAGGATAACATTTATGGAAAACAGCATAAAAAGTATTGTGAATATAAGCCATATATATATATACATATATTTTGTAATTCTTCTTGTCGATCTTTAAAGATAACATGGTGTCAAGGCCAAGGGACAAATTGCTATTGTATGTTTTTTTTTAAGGTGTATGAACAATTGAGTGTAAGTTTTAGGTGGCTGGGCAAAGTGGAATTGGTTAACTGTGGAAGAAAGAATTAAGAAATAGTATAAGAGAGATGTGAACAGTAAGTATGCTAAGTTTTGGAATTTGTTCAAAGCCTTATTTGTACTGAAAGCAAGGCATGGTGCACTCTGCCGATTGCATACTTGGTGCTCAGTATTGACAAATAGCTTTCACTGATGGAGCCCTAAAATGGGCTTTACAAACCTTAAATAGAAATGCTCTGGTTTTTCCATGTGATTACATGAATAACAGTGATTGCTGATTGTCAACTCATGCATGTTCTCATTTCAGGCTTAGGTAATGTTAAGTTGTAGGCTTGGCCTTTTTTGCATGTTTGTCTTTTGTTGCAGAAACCGTCAGACTGAGAATATTTTCTCTTTACTGACAGTGATGTGTATAATGCTTTGCATTCTAAGCTGCACTGTACTAGATTTAATGTTCTTTTATATATTTTTCTAATAAAATACCTGTTTTAAGAGATTATATTATTATTATTCTTTTGTATTACATCACTTTTATGGCACTAGCCATTGAATGAAAACATTTGCATTGTGTTAGCAGCTTGTTGTGATTTGTTTGAGATACAAGTGTCAAATATATGATCAAACAGTCATATGAAAACCCTGCAGATTGCAAGACTTAAAAAGGTTTTAGGCGTTTTCAGATACAGCTTATTTTTAAGCATTATATTAGCTCTCCATAGTTTAGTTTAGATATCATACATTAGTCTTAAGTGTTTATGTTATATATATGTACTTGTCAGGCTTTGCAAACTTTTACTGTAAGATATGAACCCGACTGTAATGCCACAACATAAGTGTTAATTCTAATGCCTGATCTGTGGTCAGTGATTTCTGATAAGGATTCATGTACAGTCAGACGTTCTTTGTCTCATAATAATTTTTTGCTGTTTATGCATCTGTAAATCAAGCCAGTGACTAAACGGTCAACTTCACATTATTTCTCTTAATAGCATTCAAATAATCTGTTATTTAAATTGTGATTAATTTACATACAGAAAGTGATCAAAGAACCCTCCCTTTATAATCGCTGGAGCTGTCAATAACACAATGAGTTTATTAGAGTTCTGGACTCTCGGCAAAACTTCCATTATAATCAATGATGCCGTCTACACTGCACAATGAATCTCTTATTTACATCATGTTTGCACTGTTGGTTATGATGAAAGCATTCATTACGAGTGCAGAAATTGAGTTGTGATGACGAGATCACTGCATTCATGCGCTCAACACACATGTCTCTCATCAGCTACAATGCACATTGCTGCAACCTTTCATGCGATGGCAGTAGATCTAAATATAACGCTATAATTAACAGTTTTCATGATTAGTTAATCTTGACAGTTGTAACAGTAAAACGTAAACGTTTTCGAGAGTTCCTGATGTACAACCCCGATTCTAAAAAAGTTAGGACGCTGTGTAAAATGTAAATACAAACAAAATGCAATGATTTGCAAATATCATAAAACCCATATGTTATTCACAATAGAACATAGAAAACATCAAATGTTTAAACTGATTAAATTCACCATTTTAAGGGGAAAAAAAGAAGGTAATTTTGAATTTGATTGCCACAACACGTTTCAAAAAAGTTGGGACGGGGGCAACAAAAGGCTGGAAAAGTAAGTGTTACTAAAAAGAAACAGCTTGGGGGAACATTTAGCAACTAATAAGGTTAATTGCAACAGGTCAGTAACATGATTGGGTATAAAAAGAGTATCTAAAGACTTGTCTCAGAAGTAAACAACATTTATCTCCCAAAACTCCATGCAACTGGTCTCCCCAGTTCCCAGATATGGACTGTTGTAAAAAGAAAAGTGGTTGGTAGTGGTAAACATGGCCCTGTCCCAACTTGTTATGATCCCAACATATTCAAAATTACCTTAATTTATCCTTAAAATTTTACATTTCTTCAGTTTAAACATTTGATTTGTTTTCTATGTTCTATTGTGAATAAAATATGGGTTTCAAATTGCATTCTGTTTTTATTTACATTTTACACAACTTTTTTGGAATTGGGATTGTACTTATTTCAAATGCAAAGATGCTAGTCAATCATAGCAGTGGGCATTTGCATTGATGTCTCACAGCAGAGACTCTCCTTCCAACAGAGCGTTCAAATTAAATGACTAAAGTCAGGGTAGAGAAATTGCCTTTTATTTCTAAATTATGACAATTTTGCTGTAAAATCATTATAAGCGCACCTCAGGAAACATGAAATAGTAAACAAATTCATGACCCATTTAAATGTTCTCACAAGGAGTAATTTTCAATAGAGTTTTTTTTATTTTTTTATTTTTAAGCTTTCAAATTTGAGATTTATTATGTAAAATAGTAGTGTGTCTCACTTGGTTTTCCATTTGGGTAGACAATGTAATGATCACCTTCAAATCTTGTTGTATTTGCCATGGCCTGTCACAACAAACTTGTACCGTTTACCCGAGGAGGAGCCCTAAAAATATAAAAGGTGAGTAAAAGAAATGTTAGAGAAGGGCATTAAGCAAGCGACTCATTCTCAACCTATTTTTGAGATTTTGAGGTTTATCAGTACAAAACTCTTTGTATATTTACCTTTCCTCCCAGTCCTGGCTTCTCTGCCGCAGAACCTTCTCCAATAATTTCCCACATGTTCTTTTTCTGCAGAACATCTCCAGGTTTAAGATCCTGTGAAGGAACATTAGAAGGAACAATAAACATTGCTGAGAATTACTTTATTCTCCTAAATCTGCTGTTTTATTCCTGGCTATAACACCCTTTTATTGAATAGTTCACCTGAAATTTAAGACATTGTTCACTAAATGAATGACTAGATCATTTAGTGAGTTGAACTCAAGAACGTCTCTGTTATGACAGTAACCCTGGCTCCCTGAGAAGGAGGGGGAAAGGGGGGATGCTACACAGTGGTAAATATGACCCTGTCACAACTTTTTTGAGACATATTAAATCCATCAAATTCAAAATGACCTTATTTTTTCTTTTAAATGGTATATATCTACAGTTTAAACATTTGATATGTTTTCTATGTTATATTGTGAATAAAATATGGGTAACGTTCACTTTCGAGGGAACTCTACGCATGCTTCAGAATGTTGGTCCTGTCCCAATAGAATGTTGATGCTATGAGAACAATAATACCCTCTGCGCCATACTGACAAATGCATGTCATAGTGTGAATCATGACGACCACAGCCTAGGAGATAAACACCTGAGACCCTGGTGTAGAGTCTTGATCCAGGCTGTAAAATCTGATGAATGTGTGTGGAGAGGCCCAGCCCGCTGCATCATACACTTGGAGATAAACTCCTGACAGTAAAGCCTTAGATGCTACCGTACTCCTAATAGAATGGGCCCATCACAACTAGAGGCAACGGAAGGTCATGTGCCTCATAAACCATAGAGATAGCCTCAACAATCAATTTGCTTATGCTCTGCTTGGACATCGAGGAACCCCACCTGGGTAAAACGGCAGATAACAGCTTGTCAGTCTTAAGCCACTGAGCAGGCCGGTGGATGTAACACTCAAGAGCCCTAACACGGAAAAGTACATTAAGCTTCTCTTGGTCTGCCGACAGAAATGGAGGATGATGAAACGCCTGCAAGACTACTGAGTGTGCTACGTTAGTTGGAACTTTAGGGACGTAGCCTGGTCTAGGGCGAGGGATTGCTTTAACCCTACCAGGAGCAAACTCTAGGAAGGAGGAAGAAACAGAGATGTAATAGCATGCAAGAAAGCAATAGCTTTCTTGCATGCTATTACATCTCTGTTTCTTCCTACAGGTTAAGAGTAAGGTTAAGACAACAGGTTAAGAGTAAGGAACTTCTCTGAAATTGTTCCAATAGGTTCAAAGGGTGCCTGGGACAGCCCCTTTAGAACCACGACCAAATCCCAGACCGGGACTCTTTCATATACAGTAGGCCTTAACCTCAATGTGCCACGAAGGGAATGAGATACCAGATGGTGTCACCTCAAACATCCATCGCCCAAAGGTGCGTGGTAAGCAGCTACGGTAGAGGGGTAAACTGAAGGTAAACCTTCAGCGTGGAGGGGGATAGACCAGCAGAAAAACGATTCTGAAGGAACTCCAACTGGGCAGTAAACTGGGTCCAAATGACGTCCTCTGCCCCCCTAAATACATAGTGAAGACTCTCCACTTTAAAAGCGTATAGTTTCGCCGTGGAGGGAGCTTTTAGAATTTAAGATGGTCTCAACAACCTCAAAGTTGAGAAACCAGAGTTCAGGAGTTGAACCTTCTCAGAGGTCAAATTCACAACTTCCACATATCCATCCGGGGATGATAGACTGTGGCCCACAGCCTGTGTCAAAAGGTCACTCCTGAGGAGAATCTCACAAGGAGATCCAGACAGGAGAGACAACAGGTCTGTGAACCATGCTTGGGCCATCCAGAACTAGCAGTAGACGAGCTGTGTCCTGGCGAACTCCCTTTAGAACTCCCGGGAGCAGAGTGATCGGTGGACATGCGTATAGGAGCAGCCTCGGCCCCGTCTGCACCATGTCATCTAACCCCAGTGGATCTGGATGCGTGAGGGAAAACCAGAGCAGACAGTGCGTCATCTCCTCGGATGTGAATACGTCCACTTCCGCCTGGCCTAACTTCCTCCAAATCAACTCCAACGTCCAAAGCCGTGGGAACTTTTTTTGAGTACGGGGTCAAATAACTTGCCCACCTCCCCCACTGTTGTTCTGCAAAATAGTTCAGTTGGACACAGAAGCAGCATAGACTCAGGAGTCACGTGACGAGTTTGTCTGTTTTAATGTTGTTGTTTTCATTAAAAAAATATATGAATGAACCACGAACTAAGCATTCCAAGCGAAAATCCAAAGAAATTTTGTTTTGTGTGTGTTACTATGCGGGTATATATCATCCGTCTTATTCATTTTGTTATTAATAGTTTGATGTTTAATATAAGTACATTTGTCATTGTACTATTTTATTGGTTTTCATTAATAATAATGAACCGCAAAATAAGCACTAGTTTTAAAGTAAGGAGGATATCAAAGACCTTTCATTTATTTGTGTTACAATGCGGGTATACCATGTCTTTAGTTTTATTTGTTTTGTTAATAAAAGTTCTCTGTTTATAGATCCGAGTTTGTCATTGTACTATTTTAGTGTTGTGTTTTTTCATTAAAAGTAACATTGAATCAACCTTTAGCATTTGTTTTGTTCCAAGAAAAGGAAAGATCTAACGTAAAAGGTTAAAATAAGCTCTACAGATCCTGAGCGTCATTAACAAGTGGCCACATACGTGGACAGCACATTTTTGCTCTTATGTCCACAATTGTGTTCACTGCTGAATTGGTGGTGTTATGGACACGTATGGGGGTACTTATACTGCCGTCTGGTAGTGTCAGAAATTTATAACACACTATGGTGTGAATTCAAAATGGCGGCAAACACAAGGAAAGATTCAAGTGGTAGCTCCATACACAAACGTCGACCAGTTAAGAAGTTCTGTCATATTTCATGGCTTATTCTGATTTAGATATTTATAAAAGCCTTGTATATTTGTCATGACATGCAAATTTGAAAAAAAAGTGCAAAACTACCAACTTTGTAGGTCGCTAAACATGAAGTACACGTATGTGTACTTATGGACTGAAGCTCCTCGAAACAGCTAATATGCTAGTAAACATGCACACACATAAAATGGGAAAAAAGCTAGCTCTGATGCAGCTAAAAAGGTGCACATGGTCCCAATGACATAAATAACAATTAAATCACTAAATACATACGTACATACTTAAATTAGTTGGGTTGAAAATGTTAGTAAAAATGTAATATGCTAGTAAAAATGTGCACATGTAAATTAGCTTGTATATTATCCCATTGGAATAAATAACAAATAAATAATGCAAACCTACATAAATTAAATTAATTTGTATTTGATTTTATCATGTTTTTATTTCCAGAGCGTTTTTCTGTGCAAAGAGCATAGCAGACTGATCTCATGAAATGGCGTATGTATGACACGCCAATTCGTATTTCCATTTTTGGCGTGCTATCAACACGCATAATCGCTTTTCAGCGTGTTTATCAACGCCTTTGACTTAACGTTATATTACTGTATTATGTACATATAAATATATGACCTACCCCAACCCCGTCCCTAAACCTACCCGTCACTGGGGTTAATACCATTTATGAGTCTTCTCCTACCATCCTAGGAAAAGAAATATCGCTCCACAGATGTAATATATTGATTTTGCTTCGTTTCGCTCGGACATTTAACGGCGTACACATACACGCGGAATCACTCGGACGTTTAATGGCGTAGACATACACGCAAAAGATTTCGGCGTGGACATACACGCGGATAGCTCAAAATGCGTATAGATAACACGCCACTTGAATTGAAAGTGGCGTGTATGTTTACGCAAAGTCATGATGTCATGTTGTACTTTGGGTTAATTGATGGAGATAACAAAGATTTGGATGTGTCTGATAACGATGATCCCTTAGAGATGTCTTATTGATCACAAGTTCAGTATGGTGTACCACAAGGCAGAAGGCTCAGTACTAGGACCGTTGCTGTTCACTCTATACATGCTCCCCTTGGGAGATATCATTAGGAACTTGGAAGCATGGCATTAGTTTTCACTGTTATGCTGATGATACTCAGCTCTATATTTCTTCACGCCCCGACGAAACTTGCCAATACAAAAAAACCTAATGCATTGCTGATATAAAAACTGGATGACTAGCAATTACCAACTTTAAAACTAAAAAATCTAAATTACGTCATGTGCTTTCAATGAAAAATGTGGAACAGTTAGTTCATTACATCAAGGCTAGATCATTGTAATGCTCTACTGGGTGGTTGCCCTGCACGCTTAATAAACAAACCTCAGCTGGTTCAAAACGCAGCCACTAGAGTTCTTACCAGAACCAGGAAGTATGACCATATTGCCCGGTTATGTCAACATTGCATTGGCTCCCTATTAACCATCGTATACATTTTTAAATATTGCAATGTTTCCATGTTGTTTTTACTCTCTGATAGTCAAAACATGTTAAAAAATATGTGTGTATGTGTTATTAATACATTGAAAAACAGTCAGGAAAAAAACTGCTGTGTTCAAGGCAGAAATAAAGGGTTTTTCATTCTATTACACAAAGGTGACTTTATTGTGTTTTATGGAAATTCGGACCATGAGTCCACATATGTGGACATCATTTTTCTCTAAAAGTACATCATATCAAAAGATGATTCTTAGTTTTTATTCTAATTAGGTTCCAATAAGCCCAAATAGCAAAGAGAATTAAAAAATGCATGTAAAAAATCAGCTTGGGCCTTATGCAGTGTAATCGGTAACACCAGTGTTACAAGTTTATTAATTAATAGGGAAATGTCCTCATCGGCATATCCCTTTTTTGTACAGCCTAGAGATGCTTAAGTAAAATGTTTATAAATTACTAGAATACGAGATAGTTGCTGCTGAGCGACAATAGTCTCTTGCTCTTTGCAATGACTGTGATGGTTGTTAATTCTTAATGTTGGCTACAGACATGTTACAGGTTTACTGTTGACCACATATTGTAACGTTATAGGCTTCTTAAGGCCGGCTATTTTTTATTTATTTTTTATTTTTATTTTTATACTTTTAAGTTTCATTTGATTGGTTCTTTAATTATTTTATTTGTATTATTAAACTGAAATTTATAGCAAATTTGATAATTATATTTAAATAAAAACTAATTTAATTAATTTAAAAATGCAAAACTATAATAACCTTGGTATGGATTACTTTAATAATATTTTATGGTGCTTTTGTGTCCTTTCAGAAACTGGAAATCTCCCATTCCCATTCATTGTAATTGCATGGAAGAGAGACCAGCACAGGCTTCATAATTGCTCGTTTTGTGTTCCACAGAAGAAAGTAAATTGGAACAACGTGTTGGTGAGTAAACGATTGTTGGGTGAACTATATGTTTGATATAAACCAGGGGATGTCATGTTAAACTTAAAGAGACATTACATAATCCTAATGTACTTAAGCATCACTTGATTAATGATTCAAAGATAAATTGCTGTTGTGTAGCCTAATGATTTTCAATGAGCAAGCAACGTTTTGTCTTCAAAAGTCCTTACATTTGATAGAAACAATGTTCATTACATCTGGATGTAATGATCTGAAGGATTTTTCTTTAGACCTTAACCACTAACATTATAAACCACATATCCACATCAAAGAATATTGCAGTTTATATGACATGATGATTGATGAACTGGATTTTGTGTAAACCAGTGAAAAGAAGTGAAGTTGCAGTAGATCATTCTGCCACAAGGGGGCACTATAAATGCATTATTTTGTCTTTTTACTTGATTACAATTGGTATTTTTACTTTATTACGATTAGAATTTGTATTCCACCATTACCAATACATTTAACTCCCCAGCCCAGTGGTTAACATTACCCAGGTTCATTAATAGACTCACAGATGGTGTGGAAGGGGAGTGTCTGTTCCCGCCTTCTGGACTTCCTTTCACCCAATGGTTGATCAGAGTTGCTACTCCGACTTTCACAATGTCTGTATCCTAAAAATATAAAACCGTACATAAATTAGGACACTTGCAAAAAAGTATAAATTGCAAAAATTAATTACATATGTTGGGGGTCTGGTGAAGCAGAATTCATAAAGTTATGATTGATTTTGCTAATGTTACCCAAGACTTCCTACACAACAACTTCCCAACTGATTGATCTTTATGTGTGTCAGACTCTGGCAAACTGATAGTGTGTGTTTGAGTGTGAAAGTGTAAAGAACAGATGTTGTTCCACACTACATGACTACATGACTTATCTCACACTGCTACACTCATGCCTCATGAGTCATGACCTCCATACTTGCACAATCTGATAGTAATAATAGAAGTGCACTGACATCTTTGTTTTCCCTCATAATATTTAAAGGTGTGATATGAAATAGCTGATTTCTTATTAGTTTGACTTTTCTTAAATTTGTTCATTCACACAGAACTCCCATATAGATTTGAAATATATCATAAGAGTTGTGTGGAACACTTTTATGATTTTATTGTGCTTGCATTTTTTTATTTAACCTTTATTTAACCAGGTAGGCACATAGAGGACTCATTCTCATTAAAAACGGCGACCTGGCCAAGATAAAGCGTCAAGGTGCAGACACATAAAGTTACACATAAAGGACAACACAGTGTAATGCAGGTTACAAACAGTTGTTCAGTCAAATGGTGCATCGTACAAAAGTAGGTCGAAGTACAATAGCTAGACAGTATTCCTAATGGGGCAATAATAAAAACATATTAAGTAATTAAACTGTGTGAAAAGTAAAGTGCAGTATACGTTATTGACAAATAACAATACAGGAAGAAAAAGACAATAAGTAATTACACTAATTTGCACAGAGGAGAAAATGGTAATGCTAACATGAACAATGGTGTGTCAATAGGTTAGATATCAATCGTTTGAAAGCGGATAATGGTACAAGTGTTTCAAGCCTTAAGGATTTTTGGAGTTCATTCCAGTCATTAGCAGAAGAAAACTGAAAAGAAAGACGGCCAAAGGAAGTGCGGACATTGGTAGTAGTTGATGAAATAAACCTACTTGATCGCAGATTACGAGAAGGAGAAGCTACCGAAATGAGGTTTCTCAAGTAGGTAGGGCCTTTGCCTAGGATAATTTTATAAATTAAATAAAACCAGTGTCTTTGTCGTCGGTTGTGAAGGGAAGGCCAACCAATGAGTGTGTAAAGATTACAATGATGAGTACTAAATGGGGCATTGGTAGCAAAACGTATAGCACTGTGATATAATAGATCTAGCCTTCTAATGGTACGTTCACACCGGACGCGAATAGCGCGTCAGGCGCGAGTGATTTCAATGTTAAGTCAATGCAAAGACGCGTTACGCGCGTAAAAAATTTCTGCGGCACGGTAGACGCGAATACGCCACATTCGCGCGTCAAGTTCGCGCGAATGGCGCGAATTGAGTGTCTGGCGCGTTAAGCGCGAATGTTTTATGTAGTGCTTTTTGTGCATTCTCGCGTTTGACGCGAATTCGCGTCTGCCGCCCGAGTTGAAAAATCTGAACTTCTGCGTCAATTCGCGCCGCGTTAACCAATCAGGAGCTTGCTTGCTGCTGTCACGTGGTGAAGAATGTGAAGAAAGAACAAAAATGCTTGGTGTGCAAAGCAAATCTTTCACATAAAAACTCGATTTCAATATATGAGAGATACTCATTTTGTATTGAATGCTATTTATTCCATATCTATTCTAGATTAACGTTATATGAAACATTATTATTCTAATGTAAAGACAACAAACACAATTTAGTGTATACAAACATTTAAAAAAATAACAGGACAGGTTTCACTTTTGGAGGCTGGCTCCATTTATTATCAAAACAAAAATAAATGACAGATTAGGTGGGTCCGGGCGAGGGTGAACCTCCCGCCGGGCTGTAGAGCGCGGGCTCGACAGGCATATACCACTCGAGGCCGAGGCCTTATACGGCCTACGCTGTCCTCGTCAGCGTCCTCACCGTTAGGTCCACCAAACCTAGCTCCTGGAGCAAATTGTGAAACCCCTGAAACCCTCCGGAGGGTCTGGTGGACCCGAGTACAGCGACAATGTCCCCTACGCAGCTGTTTCTGCTCTCCAAAGCATATACGAGCGGTGACTCTCTCGAATAATGCTAATGCTCGATAAACATCTAAAAAGATGGCCGCCAACGGGTTTCGAAACTTTCACCTCCGGATTTCGCCTCTGACGCGCGTAAATTTCGCTTCAAACTTTTGTTTTTGAATTAACACAAAGTGGTCAAGCGTCAAACTAGACGCGGTAGACGCGAATTTGACGCGCTATTCGCGTCCGGTGTGAACGCAGCATAAGAAGAGTGTTAGAGGCGGATTTGTAAACCACATCTAAGATAGGTCTAAGATAGGTAGGATAGTCATATTCACAAGAGCATGTTTAGCAGAGATAGTGAAAGAGGCCCTGTTACGAAAAAGAAAACGAATCCTAGATTTTATTTTAGATTGGAGCTTGCTAATGTGGGTATGGAAGGAGAGTGAAGAATCTAACCAAATACCTAGGTATTTATAAGTGTCAACGGTTTCCAATGCAAAACCATCTAGGGTGGAAATTTTTGTTGTATAGGAAGATGAAGAGGGAGATCGATTAAAGATCATACATTAGGTTTTACTGGAATTTAAATTTAGTTGGAGACCGCGGAATGAATGTTGTATGCTATTGAAGCTCACTTGGAGGTTGTCTAACACGATATTCATAGATGGGCCGTAGGTGTAGAGAATAGTATCATCTGCATATAGATGTATCGAAGAGTCACCTAATATCGGGCCAAGAATTGAACCTTGTGGCACCCCCATAGAGACAGCCAATGGGCTAGATAGCAAGCCCTCTGATTTAACACACTGAAATCTATCTGTGAAATAATTAGTGAACCAGGCGAGTCAGTGATTTGAGAGACCCATACTCTTTAGCCTACCAATAAGGATGGTGTGGCTGACGGAGTCGAAAGCCTTGGCCAGGTCTATAAAAACTGCTGCACAGTAATGTTTGCGGTCGATAGCAGATATGATGTCATTTGTGACTTTGAGTGTGGCCGAGGTGCACCCTCGGCCAGCTCGAAAGCCCGATTGCATATCGGAGAGACTGTGGTTTGATTCGAAATAGTTAGTGATCTGTTTATTGACAAGGCGTTCAAAAACCTTAGAAAGACAGGGCAGAATAGAGATCGGTCTGTAACAATTGGGGTCTAAATTATCTCCCACTTTGAAAATAGGGATTACAGCAGCGACTTTCCAGTCTTTCGGAATATAAGAAATGTCGATAGAAAGATTAAAAATGGCGGTAATAGGTAAGGCAATAATAGGGGCAGCCAATTTTTAAAATAAGGGATCTAAATTGTCCAGCCCAGCCGATTTGGACGGGATGAGATTTTGCAATTCCCTCAAAACTTTGACTGTCTGGATGTGGGCAAAAGAGAAAAGTGGTAAACTAACTGGGGGCACAATGGACAGTGGAGGGTTTGTAGCTGTAACAGATGGTGCCAGATGGAAAGCATGTCCCGCTCTTACAAAGTGTTTGTTGAGATTCTCTATAATGGAGGACTTGTTAGTAGTGACAGCATCTTGAAAGCTTCCCTTTCATTTTACCATAAGAACACCCAGTACTATTGTGAAGAGCAGGACGAGGCCGAGGGCTGTGAGAGAACAGCGTGGTTGATAATGAGCGACGCACCGGTCTCGTATCTCTCACGGAGGAGCGGAAGCATAAAGGAGGAGCGACGACAGAAAAGATTGAGAGAGGACAGTCCTGGACTTGTGTTTGTTTTCTTATATGTAAGAGCAGTTGTCCGTGAGGGGCTGCTGTCTTTTAATTTCGTTTTGTATTTGTTTATTTTATTATTAAATTGTGTGTTGAACGTTCGCCGGTTCCCGCCTCCTTCTTCCCACAACATCTAACTGCGTTACACTGGTGCTGGAGGAACACACTGTCAAAGAGCCCTCGCTGCTGTGGGGAATCCACGATGCCATTGAGCATGGTGAGCAGAGTCCGTCGCCATGGACGCTCGAGGCGGTGCGCTGGAGTGAGTTGGCGGGGGGGGGGGGGGGGGGGGGGGGGTGGGGGGGGGCACGAGCTCGCTGCCGGCCACCTGGGTTCTGGAGGGGCGGCTGACGTCCGTGAGGGAGCGGAGGAGTCGCTGCCGTTCGCCGTGGGCCGGAGCCTGCTGCCATTCACCATGATGGGGAGGAGCAGGGAATGGGGGACTCCCATCGCCTGTCCATATCTGGAGGAGCCGTCTTCGTCCACCAGGCGGTGGAGGAGTGTCGAGCCGTCCACCGAGGGCTATCCAGAGCCACCCCAAGGCACCGTGGAGAAGATCATCCAGCTGGTCGAGGACCAGATGGCAGTGTGTTGTGGGAACCGGACCAAGAATTTTTTTTTTCTCTCTCTCTCCCCTCTCTCGTATCTGTCGCTCCTCATGCTTCCGTCTCCTTTTCTCTTGCCTCGTGCGGGGGAATCAGGAGGCTTTCGCTAGGCACTGGAAGGTGGCAGCACTAGGTGGCGTGTTAATTGGGATCCCGATCAGTACGGTACGTCCAACTACGTTGAACGTGACCGAACTGAAAGGGAACGTCTCGGTTACGTATGTAACCCTCGTTCCCTGAAGGAGGGAACGGAGACGTAGTCCCGTCGCTACTATTGCTGGACCACTGCTGACTCCGGGCTCCGCTCGGCTCCTCAGCGGAGAATCAAAGATGCGACGCACCTTCTGCTCATTATATGCTCGCGCTGCGAGGCAGAGCAGCTGATGCAATTATCGCCTGCCAATGTGCATTGGCTCGTTTTATTACACTCGAAGTAGATTGGTCTCTCAAAGCGATCCCAATCAGTACGGTACGTGCAACTAAGTCTCCGTTCCCTCCATCAGGCAACGAGGGTTACATACGTAACTGAGACATTTTCTATTCTTTAGTAGGAAATACTTTTAAAAAAAATATATTATTGTGGGAGTAAATAAATGACTGTCTGATTTCTGACCTTTGAGGGCGTTCCTTTTAGGCTGGTTTGACTCCAGGCCTCTCCTGCTTCAAACAGATTTTTTTTGGAGGCCACCGGAGCAGAGACACATGGCATATCCACTACTACTGGCTTAGTCATCTTTGCTTCTTTAGACGAGATCTGAAACACATTAGGACAGTCAGACTCAGTGAGTCAAGAGTGATATTTTGTTTCTAAGAAAATGCAAATTGAACAATAGACTGTCGCAGATACTCTAAATATAAACATCTAATCCATTAGTTTAAATGCTGCCAGAGACTAGTCCTAAATAATGCTTTTACTAAGAGACTGTTAAACAAGGCATTAGATACTAAAATAAGAAGTTGCTGTGCACACTTTGACAAGAAACTAATATATACCGATACATGAAAGCAAAACATATAGTACGATGAGACTGTAAATTGAACCTCGATTGCATGCGTGTATTGTTCCAGTTTGTCATCAATCTTGGGCAGGAGTACGGGTCTCTGGGACTTCTTGAAACTGTTACTGTTTTCAATACAAAAAATCTTGATTGGTACATATGAACCAGTGTTGTTATTGTTAACTGAAATATAAAAAAATCATTGAATTGAAATAAAATTGAAATAAAATATACATATATTAGATTTAAAAAAACTTTACAATTAGACATGTTGCATTGGCATCTAACTGAATTAGGTTTAAGTTAAGTAATATGATTACTAATACTGAAATAAAAATAAATTAAAGCTATATAGAAATATAAAAAATGGCAAATGCACATTACAAGCTTAAACTAAAATTTTAAATGAAAACTAAAAAAATACCAAAATAAAAGCTAATTCAAAATACTAACAGTATGTAAGTAATACTATAATAACACTGAAAAACAGGCAAAATGCACAAAATGCATAAAACATATTCAGTCTTATATAATGTGTATAAGGCTACTATATATTGTACATATATAATATTTACATTTAAAAGTTACAAAATTGCAACAAAAAAGGTTTAACATTTTTTTAAATTATTATTTACATAGTGTCCTGAACTTTTTTGTGTATATTGGTGATAAGTCTTGTTTTAATCCACCACAATATCTTACTAGACATCAGGAAAAACATACAGTCTGTTTAAAGTTAGCCGGTCCATAAATCATTACTGACAAGGAGATGAACAAACAAATTATTATAGTGACCTATGCCACCTATGTCATTATTTACATTTAGACAACAGCCATTTTGCCAACATACTTGAAAGAATCTGCCATTTATAGCAGTCACTGAGGCCAAAAAGGTCAAGTACTTTACATTGGCCACATGCTCGTTTGCTGTGTATTATAACAATGTTATGTTTCTGAATGAACTCACCTTTTCTTTAAAGATCGATTCAGTGATTCTGTTCTCTCTGTGATCTAGAATAAAAAATAAAAAAGTTAAATATTAAAAAAAGTTGCAAGCAGAGTTGGAAAAAAATCTAACAGTTCTGCAGTGATTAAGCAACAAAAGGTAGTCATTTCCCCTCCAGTGAACTGTTACCTTGAGAACTGCTGTGACTGGATCATTCAGTCAGTGAACTGAACTCACTGGAGGGAAAAATAGCAGTGAATAGACTTTAAGTTTAATGATTCATTTAAGATTGCAGGCGTGTCTATTTATGTGGTGGTTTGAATGTTGGTTTTAATATAGTGCTGTAATTGTTTGTGTGATCACTCTGCTTATAGAAGGTTGTGACAGAGCCAAATCATCACTGCAGCATAGTTGCATTTTCCCAGTTGCCAAATATCTTAATGAAGTGATTACTTTAATTTCTGACGCTATGGCATTTCTGCGCTGTGTCGGAGATGTTAGCGTGTCTCGGTCACAAACTTCATCCCTGCACAATCTAATCTATAATGTCTTATTAACTCACTGTCATCCATTGTCTGCAGCATTGTCTTTTTCCTCTCCGTCTTTCTGCTATTTTCTCTTCTGCTAAAGAAACTCTTAAGCCTCCTAAAAGTCCTCCTCCCTTCTCCTAACACTTTTTGACATTAAGAGCTATTTTAAGGGTTAAGATGCTTTGTAAATAACTTTTATCTTTACTAGGATCTTCTCGTTATTTTTAAGGGGAATCACCCACATTTCTAAGGATTTTCTTAGAATTTTGTCACTAGGAGCAACTCTTTGCACTAAGACTTTTCATGAATACAGGCCCAGATCATTTACAGGGTTTTACAAACTAAGTCTTGTGAGGTCACAATGTTGTTTTAATGTCAATGTAGTGGCTGTGGTAGAAAGAAGAATGAGGCCAAACAGATGAGTTGAGAACAAAATTGTTATATCATTTATTTCAGATAGCCTGTCCCCTAAATGGCACATAATACAAAACAGATAGCCTCTTCCTGAATAATTTTGGCATTTCACTTAGTGTGAGTGAAGACCCAACAACATACTTAATGCCAAATTTTATGAGAAATTATTAAGCCTGATGCCTTTACACTACCAGTCAAAACAAAGTTTAGAATAATTCAGATTTTTAATGCTTTTGAAAGAAGTCTCTAATGTTCTCAAAGGCTGTATTTATTTTATTAAAAAAATACTGTAAAAACAGTAATATTATGTAATATTATTACAATTCAAAATAACTGTTTTCTATTTGAATATATCTTAAAATGTAATTTATTCCTGTGATGGCAAAGCTGCATTTTCTGAAGAACTCCAGTCTTTAGTGCCACATAATCCTTCAGAAATCATCACAAAGAGTGCATACAATAGTGTAGTGTTTTCCTAATGTATTGTGGTATTAAAGCAGCACTAAGTAGGAATTCCATTTTTCTCAAACAGCGACCCCTAGAGTCGCTGTGGAGTACTTGTACTGTCGTGAATAGCACTCACGCAGAGATGGCTCGCACTCACGGCCGGATCCCCTCCCCCTGTACACCGGTACCTGTTCAGTAGGATGGACGCTGTAACGAGTGGAAATAAGGAATGGCCCCTTTAAGAGCTGCGCGCGCCCAACACCACATGTATACGGCGCCGGGTTATTTATGTTTGATGCTCTTTTTATTAGATCTGTTTTTTGCCGTAAAGCAATTCGTTACCTCGCGAGACCTGATATCACACGATACTTCCTAACACTGTGGGCCGGCCCAAAGTTGCAAGGGTGGTTTTGCGGCTCACAGGCACCAGGGGGGTGCGAGACGACCACCATTCAACATGCTCCAAAGCTGTTCGGTTAAGGTAAAAAAGTTACTTAGTTCACCTTTAAGCCATTAATATTTATCACATTTGATTTAACATCTTGGGTATAGAATACTATACCACAGCATAAACAAATGAGGAATGGACAACATAACAAGCACCTAACCTTATTCTAGTACAATAAACAGCAGGGACTATGGCTTTTTTGCAGCCTTTAAAATGCCATAATGCACTCTTGAACTCCTGAGAGATATTGCGCAATTCAAGAAACGCCTTCCGTTGTATGTGAGATTAGGATGTGTAAATCTGCTTTGTCCTCAAGAACTTCACATTAAAGTTCAAGATGTTCAGATATGGTCACTTGTCCACACTAATACATTTTGGTTTCTCTCCATTTTGGCCTTCCGTCCACATTGAGACTGTTTTTTTTTTTTTTTTAAACAAAGACAGAGCTTTTTGAAAATGCTCTCTCCGATGGATAAATGTGAGAACTTTATTATGTCTGCTCTCTCAGTATCATCTTGTGAACTATTTAGTATTTATGCGTGCGCAGTAAGGTGATTTAAGCATTTTCAGATGTTTCAATGTGGATGAGAAACTTTTAGAAAACGCTTGAAAACGTAGTGTGGACAGGGAGCGTGTTGAAATGAAAATGCGGTTTTAAAATGGATCCGGATAATGTAGATGTAGCGTTAAAGGCCAATTCACACTGCACCGACAGACGGCAACAGTAACTTTGATCTGTGTGTTACCCCTGTCAGAGTCTGTTGGCGTCTGTCGAAGCTTGTTTTCTCCGACTGAACATGCTAAATGTCTGAGAAGTGACGTGCAGTTCCTTGGTGACTGAGGGCGTTGGTCTGCGTCTGTCGGTGCTGTGTGAATTGGCCTTAAGACCTTAAGATCTTGCAATGTAGGAAGATGACTCATAAGGCTATATTACTTGTTTTCCATTGCTCAGGGGACCAGGTTTTGTGCCCCTCACACTATGTTCTGCATCTTTGTGGGTTGACCTTGGATACAAGTGGATAAAAGCCAGCCTAGCTATAAATTCCAGCTTTGCTAGGCTCATGACCTACATTTTGTGTTTAGACTGAACCACTAAGTGTCTGAGTAATCTTACTTTATTTATATTGGTAAGATTTGACTAGAGACCGATCCCCCAGACATTAAAGAGTCTGCAGACCTATTGCCTGTGCAACCTCACCGCCATAATGCTGGGTAGTTGCCAGGGCGTTGCTATGTGGTTTTTAAGATGGTTTGGTTGGTTTCTTGGTGGTTGTCCATGCCACAAGTCTCTATGATACTCTGGTCTCTAGTTAGGGTTAGGAGTTTGTTTGTTGTGCAAGCACCACTGGTTATGAAATCTACCATTATGCTGTTTTCATTTTATTCCAACTTCTGAATGCATGATCCTTTTTTTAGAAAATCTAGGACAGTTCATTAATGAATATGTCTTTGCAAATGCTTAATCATCACAAAATGTCATGTTGAATTTTTTTCTGGAGCCATGTGTTTTTCCATTTATTGATACAATTCAACTCATTGGTTGTGTCCGAGCTGATGAAACGTCTTCAAGAAATGGAAAAATGTGTCAGAATAAATTTTACAAGATGTACCACAATGAAAGTCCCACAAGTGCATGTATAAAAACACAGCTGTTTTATAATTCACTGTAAAGCAAATGCAGCAAAGAAACAAATAACACTTTTCAAAAAGTGTTGGAAGTTCAAGCAAAGAAACAAAAACTTTAAAAAAGAAAATTGCCTAAAAATGAACTAAACCAATTTAAAGGAATATCCCAAATTCAGTAATGAGTCACTAATGACATGTTGACAGTTACCAAATAAAATTATGTATTTTTATTAGTTTGATTTTACAATGTACAGGTAATAATTATTTTCTGTGATACTTAAAAACATATTAATTTGTTTTGAACCTGGAATATTCCTGTAATTCTTATCTGGAGATCAACATATGAATATGCATGCATGTCACTTGACTCAAAAGAGGTGTTCAACCGCTTATAATATACGTACACTGCAAACAGCTGGTTATGATCACAGCACAACAAGCACAAGCAACTTACAAAATAAAATGGGGCTTGCATTCTGAAAAAGAACAGGATAATTTATCATAATGTTCACTGTCTGAGAATTGTTTTTTGTTGTGGTTGCGAAAGCATTTCTAGATTTTCATAGCGATGCAATTGAAGAAATATTTTCAAAGATTATTTACCCAAAAACGAAAATTTGCTGTTAATTTACCTACCCTCAGGCACCTCTGACGTTGGAGGAATGGAGGAGAGGGGGGATGTGTGTGTTGTATTGTTCATCAAACTCATACTTTGTGCTTATCCTGTATACAACAACCTATCGGGAACCTCAATAGGGAAGATTGGCTTGTCACAGATTCTCAACGCCTTGAGCTCCAGTGCATATACGTCACAATGCGACCGATCGTTTCACTTCATAAACCTCAATAAATTGTCAAGAGTCACGGGCATTAATTTTGTTTTGCCTGCAATATGTCACCAAGGACCACAGTTTCAGCTAAAAATCTTCTTTACTGTTCTACTGAATAAAAAAAGACAACTACATCTTGAATGGCCTGATGGTGAGTAAATTAACAGCAAATTTTTATTTCGGGGTGAACTATCCCTTTACGAATGTTTATGAAGATATTTACAGTTACCTTGAAAGTTGGACTGATGGGGTTTAGAGGGTTAAATGGGTCATCACCATCTGTGGAAGTGATGTTTATATTCTTCATTCTCTTCTCTGCCGCTTCCATCCTCCTCCTCTCAATGTCCTCCTTCATCTGTCTCTTGTCCTCCTGTAGTTATTAATACAAAATGAAATAGAACCTTTAAATAATGTTCTGCTTCTGGAAGAAACCTGGACAGTTTAACATTCCCACAACCAAAACAGAGTGTTTGAAAAGCATTTAAAGACATATATTGGTTAACTTGGCAAATATTTGTGTTTTTAAATCAGCTCAGCCACCTCTTGTTTGGCCATTTTCTGCTGTTCCTCTTCATCTCTCCTCCGCTCCTCCTCTTCACGAGCTTTGCGGCGTTCCTCTCTCTTCTTTTTCAGTTCCTCTAGCCCCAGCTCAGCCTCGGCCTGACGCTGCCGTAGGTGCTCCCTTTCCTGGCTCTCCTTTTCCTGGTGGATATGTCTGATCTTCTCCAGCTTTAGCTCTGTCTCCAAACCGGCATGCATGTCTTTCTTAGTTTCAAAGGACTGATCTACATCTACAGTCCTGCTGGAGAAGAGTGGAGAACAGGAAAATGGGGGTTAGTCTCAAGATGGCATATTTGTTATTTCTGTGAAACAATCAGTACGTACTTTTGGACAGGCAGATATTCTGATCACCCAGTCATACATTTTCAACATTTTTGGTGCTTGTTCAAAGAGATTATTATATTTCCACACATTCGAATATGAATATATCTCAGATCAGTGCTTCCCAACCTTTTTTTGTCTGAGACCCCCTTTTTCCCAAGAAAATATTTTAGGACCCCCCTTCACATTTAATGATATTATCGGTCTTGTAAGCTTGCAGCAAGGATGACAAAATATGTTTTTTTTTTTCAAACAAACGGTATATGTTTACTATAACCAGATATGTTTATGCACAAATAATAGCCTAAATATTGAAAATACAATGACAAAAACATCCGTAGGCCCTTTCTAATTTAAAAACGTAAGCCTAGGAGAAGCCTATATATTGGCCCTATTTGAAATCCCCAAACAAAAATATTCACACTGGTGTGTAGGAAAAAAAAGAAAGAATATAGGCTATTACTAAATGACTGCTGTCGGGGGCCTCAATACTTGCAAGTTATTTGTAAGGCTTTATTTTTTACGCTTTTGGCGCTATAGCGAGCGATAATAAACTTGCGTTTATTAAGAGAATAATGCGTCTTTCGGAAGAACATTGTAGCCGGAACTACTTCTCTCTGTGTACGTCTATGACAAGTCACGCAGGCACTGGGCTACTCCGCAGCGGCAGCGATCCGAACCAGTGTAAAATAGTCCCAATGTAAACACTTATTATAGGTGTACCATAGTGGTTCAGGATAAGACAAAAACACGGATTGAAAAATGGATTCATGATGAACTCGCTCATTATATACATTTTGTAAATTTTTAACAGAAAAAAGTTAAGGACTTTTATTTAATGCTTATTGCTAAAAACTTTTCAAAATATGACGCGACCCCCCGCAGAGCTCGCTGAGGCCCCCTTGTGGGCCGCGACCCCCCTGTTGGGAACCGATGTCTCAGATAACCTTAAACAGCACATAAACATTGAACAAACTGAGGTAGGTCGCTTTACGTGTCAGTCAGGCTGTCTTTTTCTGTCGGAGTGGATAGTTTTTAGCCAGAATAAGCAGTTAAAGGTCTGGACCTTACAGTTAAAGGTCTGGCTATACAAGAGTAGATATTAACCAGCTCCCTCAACAGCCCTATTAGAAGCTTCCTGGCAAGACTTTTTGGCAGCTACAATATTAGGTCACGTCTATAACATATGAGACATAAGCCTCTAAATTTAGCAGGACCAAATTCTGCGATCCAGATCCTCCTGTGGGCCCAAGGGAAGTTGCTCTCGCTGAGGGCAATTTACATCCCGGGGTATTTAAATCAGGGAGAAGACATCCTGTCGAGGCAGAGGCAGGGGCCGAGGCTCGGGGAATGGAGACTCCACCCCGAGGCGGTGGAGCTCCTATGCAATGGGGGACATAGTTTTGTGTTTTATATTGCGTGTCTCCGGTCTTGCTGAAATACTTCTGCTAATCAGCTGTGGGCCACTATTACCTAAAACTCTGTCTATTAATGCAGATTGTCTGTTGTTTTTACTACTTTGAGTAAAGATAAAGGTTGGAGTAAGATTTGTTTGACAAACTTTAATGTTACATCAGTCATTCACATCAGTGCTCAGCTAACGTATGCACCGTTGTTGATACAGATATGATGCAGTTCCCACATGTGCACCACAATAAATTAGAAATATGGACAAACACTTAGTTCACTTTAAAAAAAAACTTTTGCTGATAATTTACTCACCCCCATGTCATCCAAGATGTCCATGTCTTTCTTTCTTCAGTCGAAAAGAAATTAATGTTTTTGATGAAAACATTCCAGGATTTTTCTCCATATAATGCACTTTACTGGGTACCAAACGGTCCAAGGTCCAAAAGACAGTTTCAGTGCAAACTGCAAACTGTTCAAAGGGCTTTAAACGATTTCAGACGATGAATAAGGGTCTTATCAAGCGAAACGATCGCTCATTTAAAAAAACAACAACAAAGTTTAAGTTTTATAAGCTCACATGCTCGCGTCGCTCTGTTCTGTGTAACTCTCCTGTTCGAACTCGTTCATCAAAATGAACAAATCTTTTTCCGAGTCAATTCGTTCATTTCGGTCGTTAAATGAATCAAATGACTCGTAAAAAGATTTGTTCATTTTGATGAACGAGTTCGAACAGGAGAGTCACACAGAACAGAGCGACGCGAGCATGTGAGCTTATAAAACTTAAACTTTGTTGTTGTTTTTTTAAATGAGCGATCGTTTCACTTGATAAGACCCTTATTCATCGTCTGAAATCGTTTAAAGCCCTTTGAACAGTTTGCAGTTTGCACTGAAACTGTCTTTTGGACCTTGGACCGTTTGGTACCCAGTAAAGTGCATTATATGGAGAAAAATCCTGGAATGTTTTCATCAAAAACCTTAATTTCTTTTCGACTGAAGAAAGAAAGACATGGACATCTTGGATGACATGGGGGTGAGTAAATTATCAGCAAAAGTTTTTTTTAAAGTGAACTAATCCTTTAATGCTGATGGAATGCTGTGAGGTATTACAGTTGTTACATCTCATAATGTACCTCAAACTGAGTAGCGTATCACTGAGAAACATCCTGCTCATGTCGTCCTTGCTATGGAGGTTCGGGTTGAATAACTAGTTCCAATGTTTCATAATCGGACTCGTGCTCGGATTGATATGGTAAAATCAACGCTATTGTTATTGTCTTTACATTGTGTACAATCGCTGAGTTTTAGACCAATCACAACTGACTCACTGGGCCATCTGACCAATCAGAGCAGAGCGGGCTTTTTGGAAAGGAGGGATTTAGAGAGATTGAATCATCGGACGAGTTGTTTGAGAATCAATGAAAAATGTGGTGATGTGCAATTTATATGAGAATACAGAAGTGTTTTTGACCTTTGATGCATGTAAATCTGTTGTAGGAGACCTCCAAAACAAAATTAGGAGACTTTAAAATAGCATAATAGGGGTAATTACAACTTTAAAAATGTCAACGGTGTTCATATCTTTGTAGAACTCGTAATTAGAACGTGTAAACTGGGAATTTTGTGAGCACTCCGACTTGTACCACATGACCGCTGTGCCACCTGACTGCTGCAGTTTCATATCGCCGTTGATAGTGTTGCCATAGAAACACACACTTCCGAGTCAAAGGATGTGAACAGCTATTAACGTCATGGGTTGGTAATTACGTTAATTATGACATGCCGTGAATGCAGCATAAAACCTATGGGTCAGAAAGTGTGTAGGATCAAGTTACCTTGGTGATCTTTTGGTTTTGATAAGATGTGATGTAATTTCCTCTGCAGATGCCTCTCCATTGCCATTAGGCGTTCTGTCTTGCTGTAGGAAGACTTTAGACGTGTATGACACCTTTACCTCCTTCCTCTCCTCTTTCATCTGTGAGTGATGGTTATGATTTAGACATAGTAACATACACGGTAAGATGTACTGTACTTCTAATATTGTAACAATTCTCCTGGCACCTTGTTCTCCATTGGTGGTTTTATTTCCTGTTGTCTTTTGCTGTTGGTTGTGTCATCATGCCATTCCTCTGGTCTTTGACTGCTCACCCTTTCACTGATCTCCATTCGTCTCTCAGCGCTCCTCATCTCTGGTCTTTTCTCCTCTTCCTCCCTGTCCTGAATTTGCTGATACTGTTTGGAGATGGTGAAGCTGGTTTTCTCTCTTTGTCTAGATCTTGCATTCACATTTTTCTCCTTCTCTTGCAACTCTTCTCCACTGCCATTCTCTTCCATTTTGGGCCGCATTTTCCGTTCCAGCTTCTGGGTCCAATCGCTGAAACCTTCATCCTCATCCACAGTAATAGTTCTGCTGGGTTTGAGTTCACTTTCGTAGCTGAAAAACAACAACAACAACAACACACATATGAGTATAAAATCTTCTTAGAGCCATTGCTTAACAGATATAGCATGTGCATTTAGCTGTGGTGCTCACGTGGGAAACGAAGATTTGAATCTTGCTTTTAAACTTAAACTAAAAAAAGTTAGCTCATTTTTAATCACTATTTATTTTCTACACTTTAAAATAATGTGAAATTTATGGTTAAAAAACGGACAGCAAACTGATGGCAACATTTTACGTTTTACAGATTGAACTTAAATTTACTGTTAAATTGTTTAATTTTTTTTTGTATTTTTAACTGAAATAATGCTAATATACCACCAAATTCCACACACCAAGTCCTGCTCTACATTTTTTCTTGTTCAAGAAGCTTTTTAACTTGTCACAATGGATTATTGCAACTTCCATTTCATGACGACTTTAAAAACAGATGGTAAAGAGAAAGTCATGATAAATCAAAGTTCATCACAAGTTGATTTTCCACAAGCTGAGGGAAATGCTATCATACACACATATACTAAACACTATCATGATAACAAATATGAAACTAAAATATTGCAATAAAAACCAATTAAACAACATAAGATGTAACATAAAATTCTAATGTACATAACTAATAAAAAAATAACAACTAAGAACAGTTATTTAAATAAAAAAACATCAATTGACCAAGTGTCACCAAATACTTTATATACAAAGACTGCACTCATGTTACTATGAACAGGAAAAATGAGCAATTTGGAATATGAAATGTTCTGAGACGCACGCTTATGACTGCACATTGTCTGGTCTAGCCTGAAAAATAAGGTTTTTTTAACACTTTTTGAGCAGAAGAAATGAGATAGTTGTTTGTCAGATTTCATTGTTGATTTCAAACATAAAATTTAATCCTAAATTTGGTGAACAGCTTTGAAGAATTTGATGTTTCCACATTCAAAGAGATAGAAGCTGTGCTTGCATGACTGAAATAGCTGCCCGAGAGGCGTTTCAGAGATGGCGCTGAGTGAAATGACTTGCCTGAAAGAGAAGGTGACTCTGAGAATGTCAACTTACACTTTTTCACGTGTTATTTTTTACTTCCAAAAACCATGTAACAGAATTTTACTGTAAAAAGTTTGATAAGAAACCTTGATGTTGGCTTGACAAAGCCTTATCTTGAAGTTTGAAATAACTTGATGCTTGAAGTTTGAAGGTTTTACTCCGTCAATAAAATGTTATTAACATGTTCTTGCACATTGCTAACATGTTTTAGCATGATTTAGCACATTACAGGCATGATTCAACATGTTCCTAACATCAATTACCACATTGTTAACATGTTTGTAGAATGATTTAGCACAATGCTAATATGTTTTAGCATGTTGCTATCACAATTCCTGAGGTTTTTTTCATGAACTCTTATTTTAATATTATTTTGTCTTGTATTGCCTGCGTTTAGTTTTTACATTAAATTAATATATGTTTCAATTCGATTTACAAAATAGGTAAAGTACTCAATCATGCTCTCCCAAAACGAACAAAAACTTGGCCTTTTCTTTAAGATGATTTAGACTCCATTACTTTGGGGTGAGACACTGGAACTTTTTACTAGAACGAGAGGCAGACCTATATAATCACATTCATAGGGAATCTGGGCAAGTTAACAGTCAGTCAGGCATGAACGGCTCCAGTCAGTGAAAGCACCGCTTGAGCCCACACACCTGTGATGGTGTTACTTTGATGAAAGAAACTATTCGCTGAAGTCACTGTGCCAGCCTATTAACATGAGAGGCCGACTTCAAACACGTTCCTCAGAAAACAGATGTTTGAGGTGCGTGTGAGGATCTGAAAGGTGGTTGGTTGTTTGTTGTTGTTTTCTTTCATTTGCCATGGGCAACCAGAGGATTTTGATGAAATGCATAATGTTCCATAATGTGAACTGTTTCACGTAACTTTGAAACAAAAAACAGGCAGTAAGCCGTATTCTAGTTTAAAAAGTAGTGTAGATTAAATGCAAAAATGCATCCCAGGATTGTCGATTGTCGCTTTACTGGGAAAAACCTAATGGGGTTCTATATAGAACCCTAGGGTTCTTGACTCAATCTTAAAGAAGGCTTTTTTGCCAGAAAGGTTCTATATGAAGGCAGTGGTCTCAAACTCAGTTCCTGGAGGGCCACTGTCCTGATCCAGCTAATCAAGGTCTTCAGGGTTACTATAAACTTCCAGGCAGGTGAGTTAAAGCTGGTTGGAGCTGAACTCTGCAGGACAGTGGCCCTTCAAGAGCTGAGTTTGAGACCAGTGATATAAGGAGAAATGTCTTAAATAATTGAATAATACTTGTTTAAAGAGCAACATCCAGGTTGGACACCCCTATATAGTATAGTGTATGTTGATGATAAAACAACTAGATTTTCTGAACTGGAGTAATATATATTTAGCCATTAACGATATTTTGAGATAAATTGTGATAAAATAACTTCCGCGTCTATAAAGCACTAACCGGAAGTGACGATGGGCGAGGGAGTCTGGTCAAGTTCAAGCTCAGGTTACAATGGATGTGAATGAAGAAACCGAGTTCTCCGATGTTGACGAGCATGCCTATGATAGCCCACAGGTAGGGATGGGGCCGATCCGATCCAGTGTCGGTATCGGGACAGATACCAGTGTAATTCATGTAATGGATTTTCCCGATCCAACCTGCGGAGATATCCGATATCCTGCTGAAATGACTCCAAAAGTGGTTCCCGCCGGCCAGTCTGCTAGCTGGCTGCAAGCTGTGGAATGGATTTCCTGAACGGAGGCGCGGCTCAATGAGACACAGAGACCCCCCTCAGAAAATCCACTCCGCAGTTTGCAGCCAGCAAGCAGGACAGCATTGAGCTGTGTGTAAATACTTCACACTGGAAACACCGCAGAGCAAGACAGCAAAATGCAATGTTTGCAAAGCCGTATTAATTAAACCATCTGTCTGTGATGCAAAAAATCTCCAGGTCTATAATTCTCCGGAGTGAAATGTGCGTTACAAACGACCGAGTGTGTGGTGACAGACGCAGCAGTGAAGTCTACTCTCTTCACCTGCACAAAACGCACCCAAGAACGAAAAGCCTTGTTTTTCCTAGAAGGAAAATGATGGACACGATGTCCTGACAGGCTGGAATTCGTGCAACCAGCACAAACACAACAATTTACCATTATGGCATCTCTAAAACTCGATCTAAAACGTTCTCTGTCTCTCACTACCGCTCTAACTACAGCTGAACGCGAGCTCTTGTTTGCCTCGGCCTACGTCATATGACGCGTTGCTAGCGGGAAAGGCGTATTCCAGAGTCTTGCACATTTTCATCAAAATCTGTGCATCAAATGAGATTTCATTAGTAATTTCTACATATGTGTTTTTAAAAGACCTCTTCAGACAATATCAAGTAAATTCAACCTGCACGTTGCTCTTTAAGGGATTATTTGTATATGTATTTTTAGTGATAAAGCATGTTTACGTCGATCTGTTTAATGCATAACATTTAATCAAAATAAAAATTAAAACATAATTAATTACTTAACTAAAATCCGTGAAGTTATCTCATGATGGGAAACATAAAAGGTTATATGCACTTGACAAATCCCTTTAAGGTCCTATAGAGAACTCTTTCTTCTAACTATGTGTACAAGAATTCAGACGCATTGCGATAAGATTCCAACGACAATTTTTTTTGGCCTAATTTTTCCACACCAAATGCGACGTGACTATGAGGCGCAACAAAATCAATCAAAAATCACAGAAGAGCATTTGGGTGGAATCTATCTACAAGCGCACTGCACTCGCAACAAAATGGATCAGTACATAAATAATTTAATAAATACAACACCATTTTAACATAAAAAATACATAATGAGTGGCTGAAGCAGTCTTTGTCATAGAATATACTTTGTTCACATTGAGTTGACAGTTTAGACGTTCTTGTTTCCTTTAGTCATTTATATAGCGCTTTTAACAATGGATTGTTTCAAAGCAGCTTTACAGAGATAAAGATACAATTTAAGGTAACTTTAATTTGTTTTCAAGATGAATTATCCATTGTCACTTTCAGTATGGCGATTAAGGTCTCACATTAGAAACTTCTAACATTCAATAAAGTACATAAACAGTACCTGAGATTATCATTGTCATACTTTGTATGATGTTTGCGACATCGACTTCTGTGTGAGCTGCGCTTCAAATATTGCAATATTATTGACCATATATACTTTGGACCTTTTTTGCCTAATGTGACCGCACTTTCAGAAATGCACTCTTTGTATTCATGTTGGTGTCATATGGTTTTGAAAAACTATTTTCAAGAAAAGTTCCATTTTTATTAAAAAAATTTTTTTTAAGTTTTTAGATTTAAAAACTTTTTTAAATAAAAATGGAACTTTTCTTGAAAATAGTTTTTCAAAACCATATGACACCAACATGAATACAAAGAGTGCATTTCTGAAAGTATATGTATATATATATATATATATATATATATATATATATATATGTATATATATATATATATATATATATATATATATATATATATATATATATATATATATACACTACCGTTCAAAAGTTTGGGGTCAGTGAGAATTTTATTTTTATTTTTTGGAGGAAAGAAATCAATACTTTTATTTATCAAGGACAGTAAAGACATTTATAATGTTACAAAAGATTCTGTTTCAAACAAATGCTGTTCTTTTGAACTTCCTATTCATCAAAGAATCCAAAAAAAAAAAAAAAAACCTGTACAACTGACAGACCAACAACTGTTTCAACATTGATAATAATAATAAATGTTTCTTGAGCATCAAATCCTCATATTATACTGATTTGTGAAGGATCATTTGACACTGAAGACACTGACACTGGTGATGCTGAAAATTCAGCTTTGATCACAGGAATAAATTACACTTTACTATATATTCACACAGAAAACAGCTGATTTACACTGGAATAATATTTAATACTATAACTGATTTTTGTTGTATTT